ATAGCCAAATTGACCAAGGAGAAGATAGAATATCTGAAGTCGAAGACCAACTCAATGAAATAAAACAAGAAACCAAGATTAGAGAAAGAAGCACAAAAAGGAATGAACAAAGTCTCCAGGAAATGTGGGACTACGTGAAAAGACCTAACCTACGTTTGATAGGTGTACCAGAAGGGGACGAAGAGAATGAATCCAAGCTGGAAAATACTCTTCAGGACATCATCCAGGAAAACTTCCCCCACCTAGCAAGACAGGCCAACACTCAAATGCAGGAAATACAGAGAACACCACAAAGATTTTCTGCAAGAAGAGCAACCCCAAGGCACATAATCGTCAGATTCAACAAGGTTGAAATAAAGGAGAAAATACCAGAGAGAAAGGTCGAGTCACCCACAAAGGGAAGCCTATCAGACTCGCAGCAGATCTCTCGGCAGAAACACTACAAACCAGAAGAGAGTGGGGGCCAATATTCAACATTCTTAAAGAAAAGAACTTTCAACCCAGAATTTCATATCCAGCCAAACTGTCTTCAGAAGTGAAGGAAAAATAAAATCCTTTGCGAACAAGCAAGTACTCAGATTTTGTCACCACCAGGCCTGCTTTACAAGAGCTCCTAAAAGAGGCACTACACATAGAAAGGAACAACCAGTACCAGCCATTCCAAAGTCACACTAAAAGTTAAAGAGCATCAACATAATGAAGAATCTACAACAACCAACAGGCAAAACAGCCACTTAGCATCAAAATGGCAGTATCAAATTCACACATAACAATATTAACCCTAAATGTAAATGGACTAAATGCACCAATCAAAAGACACAGACTGGCAAATTGGATAAAAATCCAAAACCCATCAGGTCCAGGAAACCCATCTCACATGCAAGGATACACAAAGGCTCAAAATAAAGGGATGGAGGTAGATTTACCAAGATAATAAAGAGCAAACAAAAGCAGGAGTTGCAATTCTCATCTCGGATAAAATAGACTTTAAATCAATAAAGATCAAAAGAGACAAAGAAGACCATTACATAATGGTAAAAGGATCGATACAACAAGAAGAGCTAACGATTCTAAGCATATATGGACCCAATGCAGGAGCACCCAGATACATAAGGCAAGTTCTTAATGACTTACAGAAGGACTTAGACTCCCACACAATAATAGTGGGAGACTTTAACACTCCACTGTCAATACTAGACAGATCAACCAGACAGAAAATCAACAACGATATCCAGGGCTTGAACTCAGACCTGGAGCAAGCAAACCTGATAGACATTTACAGAACTCTCCACCCCAAATCCACAGAATATACATTCTTCTCAGCACCACATCACACCTACTCGAAAATTGAATTGGAAGTAAAGCACTGCTCAACAAATGCAAAACAACTGAAATCATAACAAACAGCCTCTCAGATCATAGTGCAATCAAGTTAGAACTCAGAATACAGAAACCAACCCAGAACCGCACAGCTTCATGGAAACTGAACAACTGGCTCTTGAATGTTGACTGGGTAAACAATGAAATGAAGTCAGAAATAAAGAAGTTCTTCAAAACCAATGAGAACGAAAACACAACATGCCAGAACCTCTGGGACACATTTAAAGCAGTCTCTAGAGGAAAGTATACAGCAATAAGTGCCCATATGAGGAGAATGGAGAGATCCAAAATTGATACCCTATCGTCAAAATTGAAAGAGCTAGAGGAGCAAGATCAAAAAACTCAAAACCCAGCAGAAGACAAGAAATAACTAAGATCAGAGCTGAACTGAAGGAGATTGAGACACGAAAAACCCTTCAAAAAATCAATAAATCCAAGAGCTGGTTTTTTGAAAAGATCAACAGACCACTAGCCAGATTGATTAAAAAGAAAAGAGAGAACAACCAAATAGATGCAATAAAAAGTGATAAAGGGGAAATCACCACAGATTCCACAGAAATTCAAACTATCATCAGAGAATATTACAAACAACTCTATGCACATAAACTAGTAAAACTGGAAGAAATGGATAAATTCCTGGACTCCTGTGTCCTCCCAAGCCTAAACCAGGAGGAAGCTGAAACTATGAATAGACCAATAACAAGGTCAGAAGTCGAGGCAGCAATTAAGAGCCTACCACACAAAAAAAGCCCAGGTCCAGACGGGTTCACAGCCGAATTCTACCAGACACACAAAGAGGAGCTGGTACCATTCCTTCTAAAACTATTTCAAACAATCCAAAAAGAGGGAATCCTTCCCAAATCATTTTACGAGACCAACATCATTCTGATACCAAAACCCGGCAGAGACCCAAGAAGAAAAGAAAATTTCAGGCCAATATCCATGATGAACATAATGCAAAAGTCTTAAATAAAATATTGGCAAGCCGAATGCAACAGCAAATCAAAAAACTTATTCACCATGATCAAGTAGGATTCATCCCTGGGATGCAAGGCTGCTTCAACATACGCAAGTCTATAAATGTAATTCACCACATAAACAGAACCAAAAACAAAAACCACATGATTATCTCAATTGACGCAGAGAAGGCATTTGACAAAATTCAACAGCCCTTTATGATAAAAACCCTCAATAAACTCGGTATCGATGGAACATATCTCAAAGTAATAAAAGCTATTTAGGACAAACCAACAGCCAATATCATACTGAATGGGCAAAAACTGGAAGCATTCCCTTTGAAATCTGGCACTAGACAAGAATGCCCTCTTTCATCACTCCTATTCAATATAGTTCTGGAAGTTCTAGCCAGAGCAATCAGGCAGGAAAAAGAAATAAAGAGTATTCAAATAGGAAAGGTGGAAGCCAAATTGTCTCTAATTGCAGAAGACATGATGATAGTATACCTAGAAGACCCCATCACCTCAGCCCAAAAACTCCTGAAACTGATAAGCAACTTCAGCAAAGTCTCAGGATATAAAATCAATGTGCAAAAATCACAAGCATTCGTCTACACCAATAACAGACTTAAAGAGAGCCAAATCAAGAACGAACTGCCATTCACAATTGCTACAAAAAGAATAAAATACCTTGGAATACAACTCACAAGGAACGTAAGGAACCTCATCAAGGAGAACTACAAACCACTGCTCAATGAAATCAGAGGGGACACAAACAGATGGAGAAACATTCCATGTTCATGGTTAGGAAGAATCAATATCGTAAAAATGGCTATACTGCCCAAAGTAATTTACAGAATCAACGCTATCCCCATCAAGCTACCATTGACTTTCTTCACAGAACTGGAAAAAACCACCATGAACTTCATATGGAACCAAAAGAGAGCCCGCATAGCCAAGTCAATTCTAAGCGAAAAGAACACAGCGGGGGGCATCACACAACTATACTACAAGGCTACAGTAATCAAAACAGCATGGTACTGGTACCAAAACAGAGATATAGACCAATGGAACAAAACAGAGGCACCGGAGGCAACACAACATATCTACAACTATACAATCTTTGGTAAACCTGACAAAAACATGCAAGGGGGAAAGGATTCCCTGTTTAACAAATGGTGTTGGGAAAACTGGCTAGCCATGTGCAGAAAGCAGAAACTGGACCCCTTCCTGACACCTTACACTAAAATTAACTCCAGATGGATTAAAGACTTAAACATAAGACCTGGCACCATAAAAACCCTAGAAGGAAATCTAGGCAAAACTATCCAGGACATAGGAGTAGGCAAGGACTTCATGAACAAAACACCAAAAGCATTGGCAACAAAAGCCAAAATACACAAATGGGACCTAATCAAACTCCACAGCTTCTGCACGGCAAAAGAAACAGTCACTAGAGTGGATCGGCAACTAACAGAATGGGAAAAATCTGACAAAGGGCTGATATCCAGAATTTACAAAGAACTCAAACGGATTTACAGGAGAAAAACAAACAAGCCCATTCAAAAATGGGCAAAGGATATGAACAGACACTTTACGAAAGAAGACATATATGAGGCCAACAATTATATGAAAAAATGCTCATCGTCACTGGTCATCAGAGAGATGCAAATCAAAACCACATTGAGATACCATCTCACGCCAGTTAGAATGGTGATCATTAAAAAATCTGGAGACAACAGGTGCTGGAGAGGATGTGGAGAAAAAGGAACACTTTTACACTGTTGGTGGGAGTGTAAATTAGTTCAACCATTGTGGAAGACAGTGTGGCGATTCCTCAAGGCCTTAGAAATAGAAATTCCATTTGACCCAGCAATCCCATTACTGGGTATATATACAAAAGACTATAAATTGTTCTACTCTAAGGACACATGTACACGAATGTTCATTGCAGCACTGTTTACAATAGCGGAATCAACCAAAATGCCCATTGATAATAGACTGGATTGGAAAAATGTGGCACATATACACCATGGAATATTATGGAGCAATCAGAAATGATGAGTTTGTGTCGTTTGTAGGGACATGGATGAATCTGGAGAACGTCATCCTCAGCAAACTTACACAAGAACAGAAAATGAAACACCGCATATTCTCACTCATAGGTGGGTGATGAAAAATGAGAACACATGGACACAGAAAGGGGAGTACTAAACACTGGGGTCTATTGGGGGCAAAAGGTGAGGGCCAGTGGGAGGGGGAGGTGGGGAGGGATAGCCTGGGGAGAAATGCCAAATGTGGGTGAAGGGGAGAAGGAAAGAAAAGCACACTGCCATGTGTGTTCCTACGCAACTGTCTTACATGCTCTGCTCATGTACCCCAAAACCTAAAATCCAAAAAAATAAATAAATAAAGGGTCTTAAATACTTCAAAGATGGGTAGTGTTAAAAGTGTACATGCTAGTTCTCTCAGTTATTAACATAACAGAGAAATAAAGTATACCCTCAGTGGACAGGCATCATGGCTCATGCCTGTAATTCCAGCACTTTGGGAGGCCACAGAAGGTGAATCATGAGTTCAAGAGATCAAGACTATCCGGGCTAACATGGTGGAAACCTGTATCTACTAAAAATACAAAAACTTGCTGGGTGTGGTGGCACTCACCTATAGTCCCAGCTACTCAGGTTGCTGAGGCAGAAGAAATGCTTGAAGCCAGGAGGCAGAGGTTGCAGTGAGCCAAGATGGTGTCACAGCATTGCAGTCGGGTAACAGAGTGAAACTTGGTAAAAGAAAAAAGAAAAGAAAAAAAGACTTTTAAGAGCACAGAAATTTTTCAATTTTTAAAAATTATCACAGGTTGGGTGTGGTGGCTGATGCCTCTAATATAGCACTTTGGGAAGCTGAGGTGGGTTGACTGCTTGAACGTAGGAAGTTGAGGCTACCATGAGCCATGATCACACCATTGCACTTCAGCCTGGGCAACAGAGTGATACCCTTTATTCAAAAAATATATAATATGGCCATGACAAAAATCATTGTAATTATAAAGATATATTTGAATTAATAGCATGAGTGTTACACTGCTTAAGATAAGTTGAAATGAACATTGGAAAAAATGAAGAAATAGTTCAAATGAGATGTTTGACACCCACACAAAGAATATTAAAGGTGAATCCCAGTTGGGTAAATCTGTCCACCAACTGATTGGATTAACATTTGAAACCAAAATGTTCAAACGTAGTTAAACAATGAATATTATTTTCTTTTTGCTTAAGTTAAAAAAATTTGGAGTTTTTTAATGAATAAAAAAGTCATTTGAGAGGAAAATTATATCAAAGAAATTAGAATTATTATTTGATTATTATAACTTGGACAAGATGCAAATATATTAAGTAAATCTGTGAAAATAGAAGTCTGTATTCAAACACATAGATTTGGTTACTGTTTTTATAAAGAATGTTTCTAAATTAAAAAAAATAAGCCTGTAATCCCCGCACTTTGGGAGGCCGAGGCGGTTGGATCATGAGGTCAAAAGATCGAGACCATCCTGGTCAACATGGTGAAACCCCGTCTCTACTAAAAAAAAAATACAAAAAATTAGCTGGGCACGGTGGCGTGTGCCTATAATCCCAGCTACTCAGGAGGCTGACGGAGGAGAATTGCCTGAACCTAGGAGGCAGATGTTTCGATGAGCCAAGATCGTGCCATTGCACTCCAGCCTAGGTAACAAGAGCGAAACTCTGCCTCAAAAAAAAAAAAAAAAAAAAAATAGCGGCCAGGCACAGTGGCTCACGCCTATAATCCCAGCACATTTGGAGGCTGAGGTGAGCCAATTGCTTGGTGTCAGAAGTTTGAGATCAGCCTGTCCAGCATAGTGAAACTCTGTCTCTACAAAAAATACCAAAATTAGTTCGCTGTGGTGGTTAGTCCCAGCTACTCCAAAGGCTGAGGCACAAAAATTACCTCAACCCAGGAAGCAGAGGTTGCAAAGAGCTGAGATCTTGCCACTGCACTCCAGCCTGGGCAACAGAGTGAAACTCAGTCTCAAAAATTAAAAAAATAAAGAGAAATAGGGATTTAAGAATATACTACAAGAAATTCTAATGTATTACTCTAACATACAAATTATTTCTTTTATAAGAAAAAAGAAAAAACTTTAATATTTTTTCATTCTGCTCCAGCCTTGCCTGCCTTACATGTGCTCAGAGCACTTACATTAGCCTACAGTTGGGCAAAATCAACTAAGACAAAGATTATGGTAAAATAAAGTATTGAATGTCTCATGCAATTTATTGAATAAAGTGAAAAACAGCACTATCGTAGGGTCAAAAATTGAAGTTGAGTGATTGTCAGCTGGAGATTCTCTACATATGTGAGAAAACCGAAATTAATTTGAAATTTTTATAAAATCAAATAATTTGTTACATAGCCTCTGAAGTCCTGTGGGATATCAAATCTACTACTGATAACACCATTCTAGAAAATTAGCAATCCATCAGTATTATACTCAAATTTACCTATTGATCATTTTTTAGGGACTATTAAGCAGTCATTCAATATAATTTTCATGGTTGTAATAAAATAATAAACATTTTAAAACAGACTAAAGTATCATAATTATTTTTATCTTTGGTGATTTATGAAGTTCACTCCTTTTGTTTAAAAAAAGTAGAATTTCCTTTTGAAATCACTGAATTATGTAGCCATTACAATTGAGATGTAGAATATTTCCACCCACCCACTCCACACATTTCTTCAAGCTTTTTTAATAGTCAAAGCCTGACTGTACCCCAGGCATTGAAACCACTGATCTCTCTTTGATCCTACAGTTTTTCTTTATCCATAATAGTATAAAAATACAATCATAAAGTATATAACCTTTCTTTAAAACGTTTTTCTTGTTCAGTTGTGATAATACAGAGGGATCCTCGGTACTCCAGCCAGTTTCCTCAAGGGTAACACATTGCAACGCCATAATAACACATCACAGCCAAAATATTGACGTTGATGTAACAAGGAACAGAACATTTCCTTCTCAAAATTTTCTCATGTTGCCATTTTACAGAAACACTCAAGGTCCAAAACCTCCTTAACCCCTGGCAACTAATCATTTGGTCTCCACATGTATGACTTTTGTCCTACTGATCATTTTTAAAAAGTTAAACATAATTCATTTTTTATTTTTAAGCACTTTTATTTAAAAAATGGAAATTATACAACCCCTCCAAACCTATGAGCACGTTAAATACCATTTTGCCATGACAGCTCAGCAGACTTCAGAGTTCTTAACACTATTCCAAGAGGAATATAAATGCGGTTTTATCCAAATTAACACACTTAAAAATGTTTTAGTTTATGTAAAAATAAAGGAATTATTATGAATCAGCAGGAAAGTTGTTAATGTAGAAGCACCAACAATCAGCTCAGCAGATGTCTACATTTAATTTGTACATTTATAAAATAAGAACCTATTAACTGGCAAGGCACAGTGGCTCACACCCATAATCCCAGCACTCTGGGAGGCAAGTGGATCTCTTGAGGTCAGGAGTTCAGACCTCCAACCCGGCCAAGTAGGTGAAAACCCATCTCTACAAAAATTAGCCAGGCATGGTGGCAGGTACCTGTAGTCCCAGCTCCTCGGGAGGCTGAGGCAGGGGAATCACTTGAACTTAGGAGGCAGAGATTGCAGTGAGCTGACATCTCAGCTCACTGCAACCTCCATCACCTGGGCCATTCTCCAGCCCCAGCCTCCAAAGTAGCTGAGACTATAAGCATGCACCACCATGCCTGGCTAATTTTTACATTTTTTGTAGAGATGGTGTTTCGCCATGTTGACCAGGCTGGTTTTGAAGTCCTGACCACAGATAATCTGCCTGCCGCTGGGATTGCAGGTGTGATCCACCACACCTAGCTAATTTTTGTATTTTTGGTAGAGACAGGGTCGCACCATTTTGTTCAGGCTGGTCTTGAACTCCTGAGCTCAAACGATCCTTGTGCCTTAGGCTCCAAAGGTCTGAGATTACAGGTGTGAGCCACTGAGCTCAATCTGCTAACAGAGATTTAAAAATAGCTATGATAAATGTGCAGAGGCATAAAAGAAAGTATGAATATGGAATGAGTAAAAAGACAGAAATCCCAAGAGAAAACAAAAAATATAAAAATTAAGATAAAAGCAGAAAGCTTGGCTGGGCACATTGGCTCATGCCTGTAATCTCAGAACTTTGAAAGGCCGAGGTGGGTGGATCACCTGAGGTCAGGAGTTTGAGACCAGCCTGACCAACATAGTGAAACCCTGTCTCTACTGAATATACAAAAATTAGCCAGGCATGCTGGTGGGCACCTGTAATTAAAGCTCCTTGGGAGAAACTAGGGAGGCAGAGGTTGCAGTGAGCCAAAATCATGCCACTGCAATCCAGCCTGGGTGACAGAGTGAGATTCCAACTCAAAAAAAAAAAAAAACAGAAAGCAAAGAAACAGGAAATAAACAGCTCTTAGAGAAAATTCAGTTAGCAAAAGTTTGCTGCTTTGAAAAGACTGATGAGACTGATAAACTCCTAGCTGGATTAATAAAAACATCCAAAACAAATTACTCATAGCAGAAATGAGAAAATATCATTATGGAAAACACAGATATCAAATTTATAATAGAATACTATAAACACATTTATAAACACATTTTGCCAATTAATTTGAAATTACTCTTTTGGCAACAAACTCGAAAATAAATAAATTTTATTGAAAAAAGCAAATTATATAAATGACAAAACGGGAAATACAAAACCTAGTCATATATCTTCTGAAGAAATTCTAGTCAAAAACCTTTCTACAAAGAAATCTTCAGGCCCTTCACTACTGAATTCTATCAACATGCAGTTGAAGAAAAATTCACACAAACTCTCTACACAACAGAAGAGGAGGGAATTTTTTCCAGTGTATTTTATGAAGCGAGATGTCATGTCAATATAAACACCTGATAGTCCAGATGTGGTGGCTCACGCCTGTAAACCCAGCACTTTCTGAGGTCACGGCGGGTGGATCACCTGAAGTCGGGAGTTTGAGACAGGCCTGACCAACATGGTGAAACCCTTCCTCTACTAACTACAAAAAATTAGCTGGCACAATGGCATATGCCTATAATCCAAGCTATTTGGGAGGCAATCCTAGTCTCTGATAAAATTGACTTTAAACCAACAAATATCAGAAAAGACAAAGAAGGGCATTACATAATGGTGAAAGGATCAATGCATCAAGAAGAGTTAATGATCCTAAATATATACCCACTCAATACAGGAGCACCCAGGTACATAAAGCAAGTTCTTAGACAAAGACACTTAGACTTTAACATTCCACTGTCAATATTAGAGAGATCAACGACAGAAAATTAACAAGAACATCCAGGATGTGAACTCAGATCTAGACCAAGCAGACCTAATAGATATCTACAGACTTCTCCACCCCAAGTCCACAGAATATACATTCTCAGCACCACATTGCACCTACTCTAAAATTGACCACATAATTGGAAGTCACTCCTCAGTAAGCACAAAAGAACAGAAATCAACAACAAGTCTCTCAGACCAAAGTGCAATCAAATTAGACCTCAGAAATCAGAAATTAATTCAGAACCACACAACTTCATGGAAATTGAACAACCTGTCGACTGGATAAACAATGAAATGAAGGCAGAAATAGAGATGTTCTTTGAAACCAACAAGAATGAAGACACAATGTACAAGAATCTCTGGGACACATTTAAAGCAGTGTCCAGAGTAAAATTTATAGAAATAAATGCCCACCAGAGAAGTAAGAAAAGAAATCAACACCCTATCATCAAAATTGAAAGAGCTAGAGGAGTAAGATCTAAAAAACTAAAAAACTAGCAGAAGACAATAAATAACTAAGATCAGAGC